ATTTTATTTTTCTTAATGTTACTGCTAATGGGATTTACTTAGTTTCATTTTCAGATTGTTTATTGCTTGTGTGTCGATTTTTGTACTGAACTTGTGCTTTTCTCTTAACACGCTACTGAAATCTTCCCGTGTGGGTGGCTCCATGCACGCCTACCTCACTGGCGTCGTGAATGCACGTTGAGTGCCTAAGGGTCACAGGCATTTTTCTAGATGCTAGTGGGTGCAGCAGTGTACAAAACCTGTTGACATTCCTGTTGTTATGGACTTTTACTTAGTAGGGAGAGAGATTGTAAATGCGTTATGTAAAATATATTGTATATTGCATACTGCTTTTAAGGAGAAAAATAAATAAGGAAGTGGGATATCAAGTTCTTGGGGATGGAGAGAATGAGTGCAACATTTAGGGGGGCTAGAGAAAGCCCCCCTGAGATGGCGACTTGGGTACAGAGGGAAGGAGGGGAGAGAGCCAGCCTATGGGTGTCAGGAGCAGCTTTTCAGGTGAAGGCTGGTGGGTGGATAGGAAGCCCCTGAGGAGGGCGGTGCCTGGTGTGCTGAGGTCAGCAGTCAGAGGGGCGTGACTTTGTTCTTCTATCAAACCCCTGGGCTGCTGTCGTCCCTTCCTGTTGGAGATGAAGCTGCCGTGAGCAGTGGTGTGAGAGTCTGCATGTGAGGTGGGTATGATTTCTTTTCTCTTGGTAACTTCCTAGGAATGTGATCATTGGGTTATAGGATAGTTATAATGCATTTCTGGATCTTTCCCCCAAATCGGTGGTTTTTCTTTTACATTCCTACCAACAACGCTTGGTTGCCCACAACCTTGCCAGCAGTCGGGGCTGCCGGTCTGTCCAATGTGGCTGTGGTGGCAGGTTGTGTCGTGGTTTGCCTTCCTGGTTTGAAGGGTGTCTTCACTTGATAGATAATTCTAGGCTGACGTGTTTTTCTTTCAGCATTTGCTTCTGTGAAAAGTCTGTGGTTATACGTTTCTCAGTATTTAAAGCCTTTTTTCCTCTGGCCTTTTAAAAAAGATTTTCTGTTTATCATTGGTTTTTTGATTATCCTAATAAGGGTTTTTTGTGTGCTCGCGCTCTCTCGCTCGCTTGCTCGCTCTCGCTCGCTCGCTCTCTCTCTCTCTGTCTCTGTCTCTTCCGTGAGTTTGCTTTCATCAAATTTGGAAACATGTCAACCATTATTTCCTCACATACTTTTCTTCACGTACTTTTAAAAATCACCCCCCCCCGTCCGGCCCTGTCTTTCCGTGGCGCTCCAGTTGTGTGCATGTTAGACCACTAGGTGTTGTCCTCAGGGCATGGCCCTATTTCTAGTGTTTGTCTCTCTGCGCTTCATCTTGCTTTGTCTTCTGTTTTGCTGCTTTTTTCCCTGCAGTGTCAAATACTTCAAGATATTTTAGTGTGTATCTCTAGAAGTTCTGTTTGATTTGTTTTACTGTTTCCTGTTGCTTTATTCATGTATTCTTTTGAATCCTTGAGCATAATTGTTATAGTTATTTGGAAGTCCTTGTCTACTGATTCCATCAAATCTTTCACATCAGGGTTTATTGATTGGGTTTTCTGTTGGTTATGGGTCATACTTTCCTGTTTGCACATTTAGCCATTTCTGACTGGATTTTGTAGTCGGTTAGTGTCAGACCTCGTTTTATCTGCCAGCAGAGTGACTTCTGGCCTGCGCGCCTTGCGGTTCCTTCCGGGCTGAGTTAGCGCGTGTCTGGTGGAGAAGGCGCAGTGTGAGGGGCCAGCTGCTGCGATGGCGAGGCCCCCCTGGTGCCCTACTAACTGCCCCGGCCTCAGCGTCTTCCCCTCACTCTGGGGGGAGGAACTGAGGGACCTCCCAGGCCTGTTTGAGAAAACAGCCCCTTCACCATGAAAGCAAAAATAAGGCTAAGATGAGCCCTACCCCCCTCCCTGCCCTCAGGCAGCTTACAGCTAGAGGCGCTGACCAGTGCGCGTAGGCGTGGAGTACTGTGCTTGGGGTGGAAATTCAATCCATTATTTTATGGTATGAGGAATAGATAGTAAGAGGAAAGAAGACGTGGCTATTAACACAAGAGCTTAGAGACCCGCGGGACGTTACCCGGGACAGGTGAGGTGGAGGCCGGCCGGGTGGCGGAGTGTTTTGGCGAAGTCCTGAGAGAGGGAAGCCCTGGAGCCAGACGTGCCGGTCGCTCAGCTGCTCCGTGCTCTCCGTGACCCCCGCCCCCGCCCCCGCCCCGGGCCTGGCCGCGGCGCCCTGTGGTGGCCGGGGCCTGCGGTACGTGGGGTCTGAAATCGGTCCCGTGGACACTGGGAAGGTGGACGCGTTTCAGCACGGGAGGGACGGCCGGCTTCCGGGGTTGGGGACGGTCCTCGTGGCAGCGGAGGGAGGGTGCGAGGGAGGGTGCGGACGGCAGGACACCCGGTGCAGGTGCAGCGGTGAGGGCCTGCGGGGCGGCGGGGCGGGCGGGCGGGGCGGGCGGGCGGGGCGTGAAGGGAGCAGGCGGCGTCTCAGAAACAGGAGGCAGGACGCACGCGGCCGAGTATAAATCGGCAGTGTCGGGGGAACGGACTGAGCACGGCCTTTAGAATCGGACATCTAACCTTGTGTTTACTAGTGAGGTGGCCCGAGGAGTCCCCTGAGGGAGAGCGTCCCTCTTTGTAAGGCGTTCGCTCTGTGAGCATTTTCAAGCACCGGAAGTACAAAAGGGAGCGCTCCGGGCGCGCTCTGAGGTGCCGTCTAGACTGCGCGGAAAGCGGCTGGGACTGGCGGGTTTGGGCCAACCTGTGAAGAGCTTCCTCTGAACTGTGTGGGATATTTGACTTTGTTTGGGAAGCGACTGAAAGCCAACAAGGGGGAAGCGGGGGTGCTGTCGGAGCACGGGGGGCTTTCCGCAGGGGCTTGATGGCGCCCGTGGGCAGTTTGCTTTCCTGGGAACGCGAGGGCGCCTTGTCCTCGGAAGGCGACGCTGTTCTCCCAGTTGGGCGGCTGGACTGATAGCGCCGCTGTCACGTCACTCTTGGGGGTTTCTCAATGCGTCTGATAAATCTCGCTCATGCCTCAAACCTCAGTTTATACGTCACTTCGTGAGGAATGTCTTCCCGTTTTCCCCAGACGGAGTCGGAACTCTGGGCACACAGCCAGCGCACACAGCCAGCGTTTCTTGTTGACAGCACTCAACTGTGCATCCGAGCGACCTAATTTATTGTTTTTTATTATTTATGCCCATTTCCCCATCATGTGGACAAGAGATTATGTCTGGTTTCTTTACCACTGTGTCTGCAGCCACTTAGTAGGCACTCAAAAATCCAGTGGACATTTTTTATTGAGGTATAATTGGTATATATATATTAAAAAAACACGGTACGATTAGCCAGTTTCAACTGGTAGACATTTTTTGAATGAATGGCTGTCAAGAACCTGAAGTTTAACAAGTGTAGTCCACCTAGTGGTCAGGCTGAATACAAATGTGGGGGAGAAAAAAAATGGCACCAATTTTTTCATGCGTGACAAGGACGACGGCAACACTGGGCACTTCCAGGGTGGAATGCGTTTTATGGGGAATAACTGTGTTTGACTTTAGATGCTCATCTAGGTGGACATGCACTGTTGGTAATGGAGAGTAGCAGGCGTATGATGCAAGAGATGAAGGCTTTAGAGAACATCCGGGATCTTAAGGGCTGAGGGGCTGTGGGAATGGATAATGTCGCACAGAGGAGTCACCGAGGTCGGGAAACAGGGCTCGTGGTAGGAACTTGGCCAGTGGCCACGGGTGGGGAGCCGCCTGTCGACAGCAGCCTTACTGATAACAGCCGATGGACACATATTTTTTATGTTATGCAGGGTCTGGCACAAATAATGCTCCTTTTTTCGTTACAAAATCGTTTATTACAAAATCATAAGCATGTAATTCTGTAACAAGAGAATCACACTCAAGCACAATATAGGACATTTTAGGTGAAATGTTCAAATTAGAACTATAAATTATTGTACCTGCATTATTACCCTACCAGCCACACTCAAGCAGGCCTCACTTCTGCCCGACCCTGTCTTTTACATCCTTTATTCTTACAGTGAGGTAAGCTAGAGGAAAGAATATTGTTAAGGGAAGAAGGGAAAGAAGGGAAGAATCACAAAGAAGGGAAAATACAGTACTGTATTTATTGGAAAAAACTATATAAGTGGACCTGTGTAGCTGAGATCCCTGTTTTTCAATCATCAACTGTATATGCATGTTCATTTTCTCCCATCAACCTGTGGGACACGGGGTGGGCTTCGTGGAGCTGGCTTCTTCTCATGTGATAGGAGGAGATGGCCCGCAGTTCCTGTTCCACTGAGAGATGCCGTGTTTGTGTGCCGATGCATTAACAATGCGGTGTTTATTTGGGTACATGCTTTGAGCTTTAGAATTTATTTTTCGATAAGAGTTAACTTTTGATAGGTATATTGAATATTTAAGAAACAATAATTGCTACCATATAGTGAGGCCCTATAATGCACCAGGCAGCATAGTTTTACATACTTTTAAAACATTTCCTCTAAAACAACCACCTGACACCTGAGACTCACAGGTCGAAAGACGTGTCTAAGGCAAGTAGTAGAGGGATGGATGCCCCTATGTACACCTAACATAGCAGTTGCTCAGCATACAGAATTTAATTTAAAGCTCAGTTGCTGTAGGGCTCTGAGAGAATTAGAGGCATGTAGTCAAACAGTTTCCATGTATTTTCAGCCCTTGGGGAGGGTAGGTGAGAGGAAAGAAGTGGTTGGCGCGGAGCTCTGGGTGAAAGTGGGAAGGGTGGGCCGTCCGCTGAGAGCGCTCAGCCCACCTGCCTCGCTGGCCTCCTTCCCCTGCTGCCTCAGCAGGGCTCTGTCCCTTGATAGGTGTGTGCTTGATGCTCCTAAGTACTGCAGAAAATGAATTTGCTTTCATAATAAATTGTTAAAATAAATTTGAAAGTTTACCCAGCTGTTTCTATAAAAAGAATTGAGTGAGGTGTTTTATATTTTAGGTTAAAACTCTGTAAGATCCTGACTTTAGACTCCACCAACTCCTCAGAAGTTTGGCGAAGTATGGTATGTTTCTGTTTTCTTTTTTTGGAATTAAAAATTGCATGTGTATCTTAATGCCATGGTTAGAATGATGAGAAATGTATTCAGTGAACTTGGGGGCCCGCCATTTCTACAGCGTTGTGCTAGGTGCTGAATCACCGCACTCCCAGGTAGGCTGTGTGCGGGCACGATTGGGAAAGAGCTGAGGAGAGGTCAGGGTGCGGTGAGAAGTAAGTTAATACGCATAACAGGGTCCAGGAGGCAGGTTGGGCTGTTGGGCTGTGAGTTAAAAATAACTTCCATTTGTTGAGACCTTACTATGTGCCGGGCACTGTTCGGAACCATCCATCTGCTAGTGTGTTCATCTTCCTGACAGCCCTGCCAAATAGACGCCGCTGTCACCCCATTGGTCTACGTTTTGAGGGAACAGAGGCTCCCAGAGATTAAATAACTTGCCCAAGATTTCCTGGCCAGTCAGTGACCAAACAGGGACTTGCATGCAGATGGGCTCTTGTGTGCGCCCTGCCGAGCACTGAACCTCCTGAAAAAGGGGGGCTAGAAGAGAGGACTCGACTCCGTCGGTTTCAAACACCATGTAGCTCTTGAATGAATTAATGCACCAACTAATGAATTACAGGTTATTTTGACTTGCTCATTTTTATGTCTACAGGTAGGAAAGTTAGACTTGCTTAGACCTTCTAAGTCCAAACACTCTGTCCATCTTCTGAGAAGCCAAAAGGGAGCAGTGTTCATTTCAGGGGGGACCCTTGCTTCTTCCCCACAGCACCTCAGGAATGTTCTAGGTTCTTACCAGGAGACAGGCAGCTATGACAGGGAAATCTGGGAAATTGAATGCTTTGCAGGGAGGATTGTATGTCCCATTTATTGGAGTCCCCTGAAGTCACTTCTGTGCACGTGGGCCAGCCCTTCCCGTCATCTGAACTTCAGCCCCGGTTTTGGGCTGCAGAGGTTGTGGGCTCAGGCGTGGTCTGGGCACTCCCAGATGCCTCGCTGCTTCATAGTGGGTCTGGATCCGTGCTGGTAGCCACCGTCTATGGCTGTCACTTTGCAGGTGTTAACTACCAAGGATCCTTTCTTCTCCCTCCTAGTTTTCTCATCTTTCCTTAGTTGGCTTTTCATATTTGCCCTGGATGTGCAGTTGGGTAGAGGAATCATCGGGGAAGAACTGTTGCATGCAAGGAGCTCTTGATACAGGATAGCTCAGGTGTCTGTCACAGAACTACAGTGTGATTAAGATGTCTGATAAATTTGAACCGTGGCAATCAGGAAAGTGCAGCCAAGGCCAAGTAAGGGGATCCAAAGATACTAGGTTAGGGAGGAGGAAATGTTTCGTAGTTGGCCATTTTTTATAAAACTGAATTGTAGTGGATTTATGGCTGAGAAGGAGTTGAGCACATTTTCATGTGAGGTTACTCTAGTCACGTAATAGGAGAAGTAGGACTAGACTGGTGCACGTGCGTGTGTGTATGTACATATGTTACTGTTCCAGGAAGCATTTGGCTACCTGGAAGACCCTGTGACTATCAGCCCCATTTAAATATTGCCATAATTGTGGGGTCCCAATCCACATTCTCAGCCACTACTCAGTTACACATGTTTAAGTGATGAAACTTTGTATAGCAAAACCGAACAGATCAGAGCATTCTGTATGGAAAGTCAGTAGATCCGGGTTTTAGGCCTAGCTTCACCACTAATTCTAAAATCTTGGGCAAGTCAGTTAATCACTCTGAGGCTGCTTATTTACCTATTTTTTAAAGTCTTGCTGCAGTGTTTGCCCTGATTAGGTAGAACCTGTGTTGTCACAAGACTCAAACAAGGTGTTGTTGACCAGAGTACTTTGTAAACAGTGAAACTCCATGAAAGTACACGAGGTTATGGCCACCTCGCCTCAGGGGAAGAGATCATTTAAGGAAAAAAATGCCAGAAGATAGTCCTTAAAGAATTTCTATAATTGCTCTTCTGAGGAATGTTGCATTGACAGCTTATTCGAAGCTTTGAAGATTATTTTTTGAACAGTGTATTGGGTTTATAAAGTGTTCTAACTAAAGATTTGTTTAATTTATTAGAGTTTTTAAATCTACGCTCAGATCAAGTTAGCAGCTAGACTGGTGTGACAACCTGTTTTTAATCAGTGACTCAAAGCTGTGATCACCCTGATGTCAACGAATGGCCACAGCTTGTAAAAGGTAATTTTTGAATGTTATTTTACAGCCTTTAAAAGGCTGTCACTGTAAAGTAAAATACGTGCTGTAAAAAAGTGAAGAAAATGTGTAGTTGGCAGGACTACTGCAAAGAACAGTGGACCAAATGGTTGATTTGCTTCTCTGTTTAATCTCCTTTCCAAAATATTTCATGCTCCCCACCCCAGACCTGTCTGTGTAAATAAATGGGAAAACATTTCTCAAAAATTTCAGTAAACGTTTTATCATGAACATTATGAAAACTATGACAGAGTTGTTAGTATGCATTTTAAAGTGTGCCTTTTATGCAGTGGGAGTTTTAACTAAATGTTTCCAGCAGTTTTTACAAGTGGAATAAAACTAGTATACTTTTCTCTCCTAGAGAGTTACAGTGGAGGTAGCAGGAGAGGCTGGAGAAGCTGCGCGCAGTAGCGTTGCAAGTGAGCCTGCGCCAGCGGTCTGGCTCGCGCTGCAGCGCGCAGACTAGGGGGCCTTTGGGGGTCCCACGCTCTGCCCTCCAAATCAAGACCTAGCACTGAGACTCTGCCAAGCTTTCTTTCCTAATGTCGCTCTCTATTGTTGAGTTTTAAAAGTTTGTTTCTGATTTGTTATTCTGACAAACTGTAAGTTAACCTGAGTCAGTAGTTTCTGTTTTTCATTTGATCCTCTCTCCTGAATATTGGTAAAATTATGAGCATGTGTTGGATCCTTACTTCCAAAAACCTGACAGTAAAGAATAAAGTCTCTTAGATGTGAGATCCTTCGCAGTTTTGAGAGTTCAGAATCCTCACTTTGGGATATTTTGGGTAAATTACTTAGAATACTGTAGAAATACAGTCTAAGTGAAATGAGTAGAAATTTATTCAGATATGTACTGTTACTTATTATTCTCTGCAAGAAAAGTGTTTCTTCTTGTTCTGTGTATATTCATTATTCTCTTGATTAAAAAACAATTTCTATTTTGAGTAAAAACAACTTGTGTTAACCATGTGTAAGAGATCTAGAATAGATCTGTTTTAGGATGATAATCTTTCAGTCTTTTTTATTTTTATTTTTTGTTTTTCTCTTAGACTGAATTGGTTTAAATGACTTGGTTTGACTGAAATGGCTGTTAGTAGCTCGCTTTAACCTGTTAATATTAAATGATACTCTAGTATATTTACAGTAGTTGAGAGACGTTTCGATGCCAGTATTTCATTGTCTCTTGTTTAGGGAACAGGAATTGGAAAGTAGAATGTAGTTATCATTTGATGATGTGTTTAACCTCTGTCCCATTTCAGAATCTCAACTTGGTGGCAGTTGCGCACTGTGCTTCTCAGACTCGGACTTGTTTGCCTTCTTGCTTGTACCTTAACCTTTTTGCAGTAGTATTTTAATTTTCCTGTCATTGTGTCCTCATTCCCCCCCCCCTTTTCTCTTCCCCTGTTAATTTTGAAAGTTTGCCGCCTACATGTTTGAAAGCTTCTAATCTGCCTCTCTTCCCTTAGTGCCAGCAGGTTTATTTTTTGTTTTGCAAGCCTGCTCTGCCTCCTTACAGTATGACATCTGATGCTGGAGGGTCGCACTTTCAAAAATGAGTCAGCTGGTACATGGGGTTATCATCAGTTTTTAGCTCCTCTGTCTGAGAGACACAAGTTTGGAAGCAATCTTGGGGTACTTACCCACAAGGCTGGTGGAGACCAGGTGTGTCACGAAGGTGATTTGCTTGCTCCCTGGGGGAGAGGGTGGAGTGAAACTTTTACATTTGTGTCACTGCCAAGTCACTGCCACCTCCAGCATGTCCCGATTTTTAGTTCTGATGTAATCCCATGTCTGATGGAACATGTGGATGCACCGCAGAGAAGATCCAAAGTAAATAGCTGCTGGAGTCCCTTTTTTCCCCATTTCCCCCCCCCCCCCGGACTGTCCTGCAGTGAGGGGTAATTTTGAAAGTCTGATAAAGAATTGAGCTTTTAAAAGATAAGAAATTGTGCAAAATACTTTTTTTCTTTTGCTGGTGGCTCTGATTTTAAGATTCTTCTGTTGAAGTTCAAAATTGGAAGTCTCAAATCAATGATACATTTACAGATCAAGTTTTTATAATGTCATTGTGAAAATTTAGCTTTTGACCTCTAAAATATATTTTGCTTATTTTGAGACTTTGAGAGTGTTAGAAATCAGTATTCTGTTGATTCACCTTACTGTACACTCACTGATGCTGTTTATAAAAATAGGGTAACTAACAGGAATTAATTTTTTAACCGCGTGATAGGGATAGGCAAAATTGGGTCATGACCAAAAATGAAAGTAGCAGGCTTCTTAGTGTCTTAGAATTTTGACTCTTTCTGCATGAGATAGCAGCAGAATATTTTTTAAAAAACCCCATAGAAAATAACTGGCCCCTGTTTATAACTGACAGTAATTCCCAGCTACCCACAGCGGACTTGCAATGCCCTGGACGGTACGCATCCTGCCAGCGCATTTTCAGGGGAAGCTCATTTCCTTGCTGAACCAAGACGGTCATGACCAGACTGTAAATCTGGTTTTTACCAGATTTACCGGGGCCATTTGGGTGAAATTTGATTTATCTAGAGCAGAGGTAGGCAGACTTTTTCTTAAAAGGGCCGGGTAATAAACGTTGCAGGCCTGCGGGCGAAGCGTCTGCCAGGGTTTCCCGGCCCCGCTCCTGTAGTGCGGCAGCGGCCCCGCACACCGTGCCAGCAGGTGGGCATGGCCCGGGTCCAGTAGAGCCTGAGTGGACAGGCGGCTGGCCGGGCCTTCGTTTGTCACCCTGGGCAGCAGCCTGCTGAACCCTGATCTAAAGCTGGGGACTGTGAACACCAGTGGATACCTTTGATACTGTGGTTAAGCAATCCTGGGTTATAGACGGTTTTCTAGTCGTATGCTTTTACTATGAATACTTGACTTTGTGAACAATTATACTGGTCTGTATGTTGGTATCTAAATATAGTGCTTATAGCTTCCTTTCCTTAACAAAAAAATGCACTGAGGTTTTTATTAGTCCAGCCCTTACAATAAATGCGTTGTGTGGCAATCTGACCGGACTACTTTTTCTCATGTTGAAATCTTTAATTACTTTTAAAACTGTTAACGATGAAATCTTGTTTTCAAATTTGTCTTCCCAAATAACGTCTGCCCCTTTTCTGGAATGTGGAATATTTTGCTTACCTTTCCTCAATTGCCTTTTGCAGATCACCAGGAGAACCTCAGTCTGACGACATTGAATCTAGCCGAATGTAAGTGTGACGTGGTTTGAGGCTGCGATGCCTTTCAAGTTGCCCTAGATTTCTTTGAATGGTACCCCATTATTGGAAAGTAATTTTCACTTAAAAGAGAGTAATGCTTTCACAAATAAATTGGGGACTAGAACTTTATGTACTCTTTTTCCTGCCACATAAATACCTCTGAAGCCTTGGTAGCATATCACTAGATTTCCCCTTGGTAGACAAGGGCATTCTCCTGGGTTCTTGGGTCTTTTTGCTCACCCAGCAGCTGTGGGGAGAGACTTGAGTTGAACAATTGTGTATGCCGCGCCCTCTGTGTGTAAGGCATCAGGCGCTGTGTAGTGGAGACAGAGATGCATAAGTATTCGTTCCTGACCTGCAGAAAGTTACACTGTGCTCAGCAGGAAAGACTTAGAAGGTACTCATTTCAGTCTTCGTGGCCGAAGGAGACCGAGGGTGCCGTGGGAATGCAGAGGAGGACCGGGGTGCTCAGGCGCACAGGGACCAGGCCTTGGGGCGGGAGAGGGAGGGCAGGGATGTTGGGGTGGCCAGGGAAGGCCCGCTTAAATCCCGGCGTGGGACTGGGGTGAGGCGGCTAGAAGCGAGGGCGGGCTGTTCTAGGCAGGAGCCTGAGCCAGGCTGCAGAGCAGCGTGGGAGCCGCGGGAGCAGCGAGCAGCTGAGGATTTTGGGTCAGACTGACCGGAGGGCAGGAAGTGAAGGGCCGAGACTTGGTAGAAAGGACCAGGGCCTTGCACACTCTGTGCGGGTCCCTGGCCTATGTCTCAGAGGGTTTAGGAGGCAGGAAAGAATGTGCTATACTATGTGTCCTGTTGGCAGCAGGGGGGCAGAATGGTGGAGAAGCGGGTGGTGGTTGGCGCCCAGGCCTCCGCGTTTCAGTCCCGAGAGCCGTACCGAGGGCCGCGGTGCAGTGGGAATTCAAGATAAGGCTGTCTGGATTTAAGAAGAATAGTTAGAAAACGAAGTAGGCAAGACATCAGTGATCCGTTGTGAGAATTTAAGAAGCCTAAGACACAGGAGAGGCGGTAGGTAGTGCAGCGAGGGCTTTCGGCAGTAGGGGTCGCAGTGGAGAGTACAGGTGTAAGGATGGCTCTGGAGTGAGGACAAAGACCCCTGTCCGTGAAGGCGGGAGGAGGAGCTGAAGGACGGAAGCCTGATGTTAGATGTGCTCGTAGGCGAGAATGGGGGTCGAGGCTGGGGGTGTCCGAACAGCTCGTCGTCTCAGCAAAGGGGCCTGGGTCCGCTGCCCCGCCGGCTCCATCTCCTGGGTGCTGCTTGAAAAAGGGGTTTGATGGCTGAATAAGCGTGGGAACGACAGTGGGCTTCTTTCTTGAGAATAGCTGAAATCTTTTGAAATGCTGCTTGTGCACGTGAATCTCCAGGACTCTAAAATGTATGTACCTAAGGTAACCTTTTGTTCCCTTCAAATTTTTGTTGGTAAAATGCACATACCATCTGCCACCTTGGTTGCTTATGAGCGTGTGCTTCGGCGGCACGGAACCCGGACCCCACACACCGCCTGCCTGGCACCTGCCCCACTCCTTCCTTTTTCTTGATTGTGACTCTTCTGCCTCGTAGAAGTGAAATCATACAGCATTTGCCCTATGTCACTTAACACATGTCCTTAAGCCTCTTCCCTGTTGTAGCATGTGTCAGAATTCCCTTCCTTTTTAAGGCTGAATAATTCTCTACTGTATATATGTGGCACATTTCGTTTATCCACGCCTCCGTTGACACTGGGCTTGCTTCCATGTTTCAGCTGCCACGAACGTGAGTGTACAGATTGCTCTTGGAGACCCTGCTTTCAATACTTTGAGCATCACCTCAGAAGTGTAGTTGCTGGGTCCTCTGGTCAATTCTGTGTGTAATTTTTTGAGGAGCCTGCATACCATTTTCCACAATGGGGGCGCCATTTTGTGTTCCCACCCACAGTGCGCAGGGGTTATGATTTCTTCACATCCTCGCCAACCCTTGTAATCATCTGGTTTTTCTGTTACAGCAGCCATCCTAATGGGAGTGAGGTGATTTCGTGCTTTTGTAAACATGTTGTCAATAGCGTTTTGTGGAACCTGGTGTTTGGTTAGGGGATTTGAGGAGCCTGAAAACCTCGAGAGCTAGCGGGCGGACTAGGTCAAGGCGTAGACCAACTAGTTTTGAGAGGTCGTGCTACTGGGAGGCCAGGTGTGGTTAGAGACCTTGTCATACAAGAAGCGGACGTGTGGTGTTCTAGGTCGGGGGACAGCAGAGCAGATGGGACAGACTGCTGGTGGCACGTGCGTAGGATGTTGCTTTTGGAGAAGGTGAGTTCATGTCATCGGCGACGGCCGCCTTGAGAAAGGTTGTGGGGCCAGGTGAAGCTGCTGGGTTGGTTACAGAAAGCCTGCGAGGTCAAACGGGCGGGTCAGCGTAAGTGACACACCCGTGAGGACACGTGGTGACGGTCAGCGGCTGTGTGTTTAGTATGCGCAAGGTGGCGATGGACTGAAATCGACCACAGGGGGGTCGTGGGGAAGGTCCCTCAGGTTAAGAAAGTCAAGTATTTTGGGGGCTCGTCGGAGACTAGGTCAGGCACACAGACATTGAGGTCACCATGCCAATGATGCAATTGGGGCAAAACAGCCTTTAGGGCGTGGGTGTAATTTACCAGGCCATCAAAGGAAGGACAAAGGTATTGAGGTAGGTGACAGGAGTTTCAGAGTACGAGCTGAGCTGAGTTTTGTCTGGGGAGATGAGCACTGTTTGTTTTCCGTACAGGGCATTGGAAGAACAATGGTGGACTGACGGTTTTAGTGTCTGTGAGGAACCCCCGCACCCGCTCCCCTACCAGGAGAGAGTTGCGTGAGAAGCATAGCCTTTGCAGGGGGTGACCAGCCTCAGTGACAGTAAGGAGGTGCAGGAACCGGCCTATAAAGCAGTTGGGGAGAGGGGGTGACCTGCCTCAGACATGTATTTCTGGAGATGTCGGTGCGTCAGGTCAGGAGGATGAATCAAGAGTCAAGGACGGAAATGCAGCGGCGTGACAGTTGTAAAATCCAAGGACGGCAGGCACGCGAGAGAGGCACAGGTTTTCAGGTGAAACTTTGGTTTTAAGTGCTGGTGCGTTTAGCAAGTTGTCATGTTGTTTAACCTCACTGGGCGAAGGCAGAGTGACAGGAAGTGAGATCTATCGAGCCTTGTGGACAAAGGCGTCCGAGGCTCTAACCGTAGCTACGGTGGCGGCCGTCGCTCAGGCTCCTGGGCCTTCAGAAGCCGTGACCGGGGTGCAGTTGGGCAAGGCACATAGGTGCAGGTGTGCTCTGCCCTCATCTTTGAGTCCTGATTTACAGGATAGGTAATGGAGCAATCCTGGTGTTACCTAAAGATTAGGCTAGGGTGTTTGGTCTATGGCGACATCTTACATTTATTGAAGCCTGATTTTTTTCCCTTTTTTTTGGCATTTCGAGACACGTTTGCATTTGGCATCCTCTACGGAACCCCTTGAGTGCATTTTGAGTAGTAATTATGTAAAATTAAGGAATATACCCATTTGTTTTTAGGAATTCTTAATGTTGCCTATTTCCCAAGGTGCGGAAAAACAGCACAAAATTTTAACAGTTGCGTGTCATTTTATAGTTTGGCCTAAAAAGAGAACTAGCCCAGTATGATGCAGATCTTTATATTCAATGCTATGTATGTTCTCCCTGGATTTTTGTTTAAATTTATATGTATCATGTCTCTTTGAACATATTAATTTAGACTTTTTAATTTCCTTAATGATTTTGAAGTGATCTGCAGTGACTCCCTGCCTCTCCTCTCTGTGGGTTGCTCCCTGCGCTTAGGCTGTGCGGGCGGGCACGCGACCCAGACAGTGCACAGCGTGAGCCAGTGAGTGGGGCGCTTTCTGGGCTCGTGTGTAGCGAGGCCCTCTGAATAAGCCCGCAGTTTTGCTGAACGTTGGCATGGCCCAGGGCACAGTCCTCAGGCCGCCTTCTCCACTCTGAGTAAGAGCTGCGCCATATCCGCTCTTGACAGCGGCTGTATTACTTGAGGTCCCACAGTCCCGCGGGGACAGGCCCAGCCTTAAACCTGGACTAGGTCCCTGATGTCTTTTGTCAGGTCTGTGTCTGTGAGGCCTCCTGCTGTGTAGGATACCAGTGCGCTGTCTCCAACTCTGACTGACCCTCTGAGTTAGAGACTCATGGCCAGTAACTGAATCTCTGTTTCTCCAAAATATTCTGGTCTCCACCCTCAAAATATTCGATAATTCAACCACTTTTACCCCCACCATTTCCACCTCTGGACTCTGATGAAAGCTATCGTCTTTTTCCAAAAGAATGAAATTGTTTCCAAGTAGTCTTTCTGCTTCCTGGTCACTCACAGTGTATTTTCTGCAGCTGAGTCATGGTGTGCTCTGAACCTTTCAAGGACTTCCTGTCTCTCAGCGTGAAGCCTGAAGATGCACCACTGCGTGAGCTCCCAGGCGCTCCTGCGGCCCTCCCTCCTCTCCTGCTCACTTCTTCTGCACTGCCTCATTATCTGGCTCCCATGTCTTTGTGTTCTTGAGGCTTGTGCCTGTGGTCTGTGGCCCTTCTCTGTGGCACCCACAGGGCTTTCTCACTTGCTTCAGAGGTCCCTGCTCAGTTGGTGTCTTCTCAGAGAGGTCTCATGATGAGGCTTCATCAGTAAAGGGGCATGTTCTCTCTCCTCTCTTCCCCTTGCATTTTTGTATTTCTCTTCATGGGACTTACTGTCACTTGACTTGTTTCACATTGGTTTCTTTGGTGTCTGACTCATTTAATACCAGCGTGGAAGCCTAGTGAGAGAGTACTTGGCATAAGTTGGTAGTCAGTAAATGCTTATTATATGAAAGAATGAGATTACTAAATTTATGCAAAATGTTTGTTTATGCCTTTTTAATCCCCTTTCAGAAATGCAAAAACTTTTTGGTATCAGTTATATGTAAATATGCTGATGTCCATGGACACAGCCTGAGGCTCAGGGATTCCTACACCCC